CACATGATATTACGATCGACACAAGTTGAAAATATATGTGTCGCACGACACATATTGCATAGCGCTCAACACAAGTCAATTTCAGTGTTAAACACGAAGTTTTCTCCACGTCCACAACGAAGCTCCCATGATTTCCTCAACTTCTCCAACCATGATCTGCATTATCTCCACTATCTCCGACTTCCTACTATCTCCACCTTCTTCAACTTCTCATGATCTCCACTACCTCTCACATGTTAACTTCCATTAGTTCTTTCTATAAAAATGATGAAGCATTCATTTTTAGTTTTATCCAAGTTTTGTGCGCAGATTATTATTCTTAGTTTTTAGGCTGAAATCTTTATCATGTAAAAGTGGTAGTTTCTCACATCGAGGAACTACCACACCATTAGTTTTAGGACATTTCATTTATAGGCTTGGATCATAATCTTGTTAGATTATTGAAGATTAATTTCAGTTTTAATTGAAGTTTCTCTTTTACAGGTTCTCTTTTATTGCTTTATTATTATTATCGTCTATGATTGTTAATTTAATTACCATGTTGTTTTTAATTGAATTTGCTATGTTTAATTTGTTTTAAATCAATAGCATATCTAGATAAAACATTTAGAGCCTGATATGTGAGGATCGTCGTCTTTGACGGGACTCAGTAACGAAGTTGGCTTAAATATTTGTTTGAAAATTATGTTTCGGTCTTTTGTTTTTAAAACTTAATTTAAGTAGTCTTGTCACGAGAGTGAGAAGTTAGTTCACATGATTTTTCCACGAGAGTGGGAAATTAACTAAGGTTTTAGCCGACACAACGAGAGCGTGGGGGTCGAACCAGATAGTAGAAACTAACCATTAATTTTAAACACAACGAGAGCACTTTACGATTAATTAGAATCTATTTGTTTTCAAAAAGTATTTTTAAATGTTGACTGAAACAACGAGAGTGATCATTTATGTTTAATAATATAGTCCGAATCAATAATCACGAGAGTGTAAGATAAAGGCTTTTAAATCAATATTTTCCACTAAACACTTTTCTAACGTCAGTGTAAGCCAACAAGTTACAGAGTATCTGAGATACGCAGAATACACATTCCGGTATCTCTTTTCTTCTATATTTCCTAAATCTTTATTTAATTTCAATTTTAGTTCTTAGTTTCCCCTAAATTAATTATTCATTAGCCTTAGTTTACAAAGCAACAATAGATTACAGTAGGTTAACATTGGTCTTTGTGGGTTCGACAATCTTTTATATTACTTTGATATTTCTGTACACTTGCGGACGCATCAATACCTCCCAATATCACTTTGAATTGGAGATCAATATGTATGCCACGTGTTAGTTTTACCAAGCCCCGTAGTAGACGCTAGATGTATCATAAAAGTACACTAATGATAACTCTACCACCAAGGTATATCATTGGTGTACTTTTATGAACACAGTCGTTTCTTGATCAACTAACTATTTTATGAACGATGTATATATTTTCCCTTTGTAACCATTTTAAAGATTATTTTCCATTATTGGTTTGATCTCTTAATGGCAATTGGAAATCGAAACTGATCGTTCGATCCTCAATCACAATGCTCTCAATTAGGCATAAATGTGTTATCACTTGTATCTTTTAATCTACGTATTCCTCTGTATCAGTTTTGGACGAATATGATCAATCTAATCCATTAGCTGTCTCATCCCAACTCTGGTTTGTTGGGCGAATTTCTATTCGAGTTGGGCTCTATCCGATCCGGGCTACAATATGTCTCTCTCGATGACCTGACATAATATATCGACCATGTACACAATCTCTCATACATGATTCACATATCGGAAAAACACTTTGTTGAAACATTCCATGAAACCATACACATAATTTTATTTGTATAATATTGATATTAATTTTATCCACATACTTTCGTTTTATACGTCTAATATATGCTATTTAAATTTTCTTTTAAATACTTATGATGATTGGTTTTTAAATAATAAATTGTTCTTAGCTTTTGGAATTTCATTTAATTATATTGTAGATTTAAATTTAAATACGAAAAAATTTAAAAAAATAAATTATAAGCTAAAATATATAATATAATAGATTGATTGAACTATGAATATGTAGGTGAAAACAATATAAATTTTTTGAAATAGTATAATTTTTAAGTTAATATCCTATTTATGGGGGATATAAGAGTTCTTTTAAATTACTATTGTCGATGAAGATAATAGAAGTTAGTGTATTATTTTTAATTAGGGTTGAGATTATTGGTGTTGAGTGACTATATATATATATATATATATATATATATATATATATATATATATATATATATATATATATATATATATATATATATATATATATATATATATATATATAAAAGATTCATGAAACGTCGCTCTTGATGTTGCCAAGTCAAGATGCAAAGCAAACTGGCAACTACACATGAAAGTGGTGCCGTTGCGTTGAACCCTCATATGTTACTTGGTCCCCTCTAAGAGTGTGGCCTTAATGAATAAGAGTTTTTGCATGAACCAATGGTTGTTGTTAGGATTAATGGATGAACTTGAGATTTTATGACTTCTAAAGAAGTTCATCACAACAATAATGAAAAAATAAATAAATAAAAATTGCAAAGAAATAAAGTATGGATGGTGACATGACCTGCATGGCCGAGAAAGGTTTATTACTTTGAGGTAGAGGCAGTTGGAAAACTGAGTCAAACACTCATAAATAAAGAGGGTTTGATTTTGTTCATATAGAGAGCAAAATTGAGAAAAAAAACTATTTAATTGAAAAATCACTGACAAATAGAACCTTTGGCTGCCCTTTACAACATGAGAGGTTATCATTACTTTATTTTCAGTACACTGAATTAGCAGTAATTTTTAAGCTAGAATAAATGTACAGTATTGAGTTGGGCATTGAGGTCATTGAAATATTTGGAAGATGCTATTCCTCGTTACAAGAAAAGCTTGATAAACTAGGGGGCTATTTATGAGGTGATTCATCCTTCACTAAATTTTCACATTGTTTAGAAATAAATCTTTCGTAAAACACAAATTAAAAAATCAAATTAAAAATATATTTAGCGGGGGATGTCCCTCGCAAAATAAATAGAGAGATTTTAAATTTTAAAATATTTTCCGCTTTGTAATTTGCGAAGGACTTAACATCACAAAAAGTGAACGTAGCATTCGCTTGGGATATCTCCTCCTAAATATTAACCTTTGTCTCATCCACTGCATCGTGTGTCAGACTTTGCAGTTGCTTTAAATATTGTCTAAAAAGTAAATTGCAGTTTGTGAGGGGTTGCCACAAGCAAAATGTGAGAGTTGATAGCGCGTGGGAAAGCCCTTCGCAAATGTCTGCCCAATTGTCCCATCCATTGTTTCGTGTGCAGACGTGTCACTTGCTTCTGAAAAGTGAGTTACATTTAGCGAGGGATGCCTCAAGAAAATTGTAACAATTGTTGACGCATGGGGAGCCCCCTCGCTAATTGTCGTCTTTATAAATGCTTTATCCTTTTATTTTTCAACAGATCTGCATATATCTTTAAAATATTTAACCTTTCTTCTTTTCTAACGCGCATTTCTCTTTACTAAATCTTCAATACCTTCATCTTAAATTTCTTAATCTAAAACAAAATTCATCCCTTGAAGATAATTAATTATGTTTCATTTTATATTTTTTTATGTCTAATTTATATATTTTAGTTTATATAATATTTGTTAGTAATTTTAATTTTCATTTTCTGATTTTAGATATCATTCTTATCACCTTCTTAAATTTTGGAACAAGCAATACAAGTTTTCTAAATTGCTCAAGACTCAATTTAGTAACTAATGTACAACTAAAAATATAAAACTTATTCCAGATTAAATCTTCTTGACCTACGAAATTTAGGGAGATATATCCAAAAGGAATATCACAAAATCAAATCAAATCTGTCAAGATTCAAAATAGTCACGCCTGTTGTACCTGACCAAGATGTCATGACATTTATCTTTAACATTTGGTTGAAAAACTCATAACATGAAACATGTTATGGCAGTTGATAAAAATGCCGTAGCATCTTGATCAACATCGATATAGAACTATGTTTTAGCAAAATAATGTCAATCTTAAAATTATGGAACTAACAATTTCTCTCTTTGACAAATTTTGGCTTAAACAACCAAAGCCCAAATAAAATTGGAGAGAGAAATAAAACCACAAAGGAATATAACTACAAACCAACTGCACAAAGACTTGTATCAAAGATACAACAGTTACATAAACACAAACTACATGCTAAACATGTAAACTTTGAACATGAGGAAGAAGATGACCTTTATCTTGATAACCATCCAAGCTACTCCCCCTAAACCACAGAACCAGTTCTTGTCACAGAGAGATAAATCTCCCATCAAGAACACAATACATTAGAAGAACACACAACATAAGCAACACACATAACTCATAGCACATGACACAAGAATTCTCATAATTCTGAACACAAGACACAACAAATAGACATGATGTTAGAACATCCTATAAGAAATTCTGCAAACAACTACAACAGAAGCAGCATCAACCAGACAAACTCAAGACACATATGAAAGACACTTATGCTCCCCCTAAAGTGTTGTATAAAGAAAACAACACTTGACTAGACCTATTGGCACTTTTCTCTTCCCTTTTAGCCAAAAAAATAACAAAAACTAAATAGAAAGAAACTGCCACACAAAAAGAATTAAAAGGAGAAAGAATTGATTCAAGACAAACAAAAGAAGACTAAAAAAGAAATTGACTCAATAAATTGATGCAGGACTAGTAGCACCGAACTGACTCAAAAGAAACAACAAAAAGGAACAAAAAGAAAGAATATACTAGGACTCACCTAAAGAGACACTACCTAAGGGTTAAAAAAATGACTCAAAAACAAGACTGACTCAATGAACATAAAAATAACAAATATAAAAACACACACTTTTTTTTATAGTTTTTTTTTTAACAGATAACATATAGTAGCTATCCAACACAACCTTCTGAGTTAATGAAATTGACCCAATCTTCATCAGCATCTGAGTCTGAGTCATGTAGCTTGACATGATTCTTCTTGAGGGACTTCATCTTTGTTACATATGTATTCCTTGTTCTGGATGTTCCAATACATGTTTCAACATTTGTTACAGTGTTGGACAATACTCTCTTTGAACCAGAACTCACTTCCTTCTTAGTTTCTAGCAGAAGAGTCTTCATTGCATCAACAATTTTTGAAGATTTGCTCATGTTGAAACGTAACTTGTAAGGATGGTGGGGTAGTAAGGCCTTTAAATACAAGGAAATTTACCTTGTTAGTAACTAAACTTTTCTTGTAACGACAATCTAGTTAATGAAAGTGTTACTGGAAGGAGATAAAATCATCTTTAGTAACGGTGCACCACTCACACTAGGAGAGAGACATGTTATTGTTCAGTTTTCTCTCTTTTCAAGTTTTGACTGCTTGAAAATGTTATAACATTTGAAATGACATTCTTCATGCCATTGAAAATGATTATTATGAGATTTCACGCTCCACTAGATGAAAGGGTATAGTTGGAAGACCGTCCAAATAGTTACTACTATAATTCTTTAGTAGTGCAATTCTAAAATTACCCCTCACATTTTCACGTGACTTGCACCTCAAATTATGATGAAAATACTTCCAGATCTTCTTACCCATACCAACCTTAGGAGTTTTAATATTTTCCTATAGCAAGACCCTTGACATAATGATGACAAAACTAATGACTTTCTTCTGCAAGCAGAATAAAATCATTGTACCTTGATTGCAGTAGCATGTCACAATACAATATCACGACATCTAGTTTGACATTGCACTCTTTTAGTAATCAATCCAATTAAAAATACATCTTCCTCCAGCAATGTACATAATCTTAAAGATATACCAGGATTCAATTAATTCTAATTCAAGAGACCAGAATATCCTGCAATAATACAATCTTCCTCAGACTTGGCCAAAAGATTTTTACTCCAAGACTTACCATCATTATATATTTCATCTCTGAAACAAATGATGATCATAGACCAAAATAAAACTCCAAATAATGAACTCCCTTTTAAAAAAAATGTTTTTTTCCTTGAGAGATTTCTTATTCAGTCCCTCCTATCCCTTTAGAATCTTCCACAATCTCTAGAGTAACAAATTGATGTAATGATGTTCCAACATTTGGTTGAACATCAGTACCTTCCTTAATGAACACATTACTGATTTTGATTTTGAAGTTAATCATCACTAAAATTACTTCTCCTAATAGAGTAACTCGAAAACATACCTTGTTCTCATTCAAGACTATATAAGAACCTTTGAAGACTCCACAAATACTATATTTTTCTTTGTTATAAATCACAACAGAAAATCATATAAATGCATCTATCCACCAGAACACTCATCTTGCATTAAACTAATCAGATCCATATAATAGGTTCTAGAGCTTTAGCAACTGTCTGATGTTGCACCTTCTGGTGTGACATCTTGACTTCATCTTCCTTGAACATCAAGTAAAAGGATAAGCAATTAAATACTTGTGGAGTCCATAAATAGCAATTATTTTTAAATTCTCATAAGAACTTCATACATCTAATTAGAGACAAAATATTCTTCTTTGATGACATATACTTTTAGACCTTGATTACACAACTGACTTATGTGAAACACAATAGTCATCAGTCCTTCAGTAAGAAGAAGAAAAAATTACCAAAACTTAGAGAATCCATCCTAAATTATTTAGTTATCCAATGCCTTTAATCTTCTCTTTCATCGTCAACAACACACAAAATAGTTGATAAAATGAGACTAAACACACAACCAAAAACACTTTTACTGCAGTCAAGTGTCTGGAACAGCTAGTGCCAAAATACCAATCATCTTAGTTGAAATTCTAATAAAGCTATAAGAGATAAGGAAATTATAATCTTTTTTTAGTATTAACCACTGTTTGGTTAACCTATGCTGATTTTGACCTTTGAGGAAGTCACAGAAAACAAAGAAAATTATTAAGACCAACTTTTCACAGAAGAAACATCTTCAGTGCAAGCATCTGCCTCTAGAATTAGTACTCTGATGTCTAGCACAATATTGAGACATTTAGATTGACATTCTTAACTCAACTTTCCTTTTGATACAAACACCCTTTTGTAACTTGAGTTTTCTCTTTGCTAGTTATAGCTTGACAACTACATCCTCCCTAGGCTTTCGATCATCTTTCCACTAGAAGAAACCTCTCCAACTGTTCTGAATTTATCCTTATAGACTTGATCAAGATATCAATTTTTTAGGAATAATATAGTCATCTCACCTTGTAAATCATAAATGATAGACAATCATTCATTCTCTTAAGACATAAGATCAAAAATAAATCACCTCATATTTCTTCATGGTTGACAACCCTTTTTTCTAGATACACATATCTTTGAATAAAAACATCCAGCACATCATGATATAATTCTTCAATATAGAAATATTCATCAGAAGTCCATCTTCCAGTCTAACCAATAATATTCTTGAAAAATTCAAAATCAGGATCACTTTCCTAATTAAGCCAAGAAATAGAAAACCCATATAGTTATTTGAGATAAGTAGGGAATTCTGCTCCACAAATATCCAAGGTCTTCACACTCATATGAATGCTTTAAAATTGATTGATCTATTCTTCAGTTCCAACCTTTCCTTTAGCATCATAGACTTCCTGAAGCCAGTACAGATGTTATGGACATTAGGTCTAGACATTTTATCCAATCTCTTCAACACCTTATTGGATTTCCTTCCAAGGAACACAATATTAATAAGAAACCCTTCATCAGAGACCATGACCCAAGTTCCTAAAAGTTGGAAACAAAAATACTTCTCTTATTGTTCTTCAATGGCTTATCACTTTGATGTCAATCCACTTGAGTAGAGACCAGGGTATCTTCTTCTTGATCATCCTCTATTCTAAACTTTTTTCTCCAAACACACGTAATATACATTTATGAGTGGACTTGAGAAATTCCCAAGTATCTTTGACTACAATACAAGTGATACAGAGTGCTTACCAATTCCATGGACACGTGAAATTGATAATTTCAGAGTGACAAAAAGACAACTCAAACTCTTCCCTTCTATCTCTTTAGTACCAGGATTCTTCTATCCTGATAATTCTTCAAGATCTGTTATCCATTGATAATGAGAATACAATCATTCCGGTCTTCGAAAGAGAACAGTAGTACTAGAAAAATACTCTCTAAAGCTTACCCAATAGACCAGGGTGTCTTTTATGATACCAACTGAAATTTTATGCTACATGCAACGCATGTTAATACTTATATCCCAACATCAGAACAATGTCACGGCAGATGTTGCAACATCTGTTGACATACTAAACAGATTTATTCAAGATGCAAGTGATACTGAAATTAAATTACAGAATGATAAATAACACATAGAGTTGTTAACCCATCTCATTGCAATATCACCTACTCTGGGGGCTACCAAGTCAGAAAGGAAATCCACTATCAGTAGTATCAATTTAAAGCCTAAACAATCCCAGTTTACAACTTCTCACTTAATCCAAACCCAATGCATTTTCTACCTAGAAATCATCATCTAGATATGAGAAATCATCATCTAACTCCCTAAATCACCTCAGTGATATCTATAGTTCCAATCCTAGTGATTGTATCAAGAACAACCCAATAAGAAGATTATAATTCCAATACACAACTCAACTCTTTTGCTTAAAAGCTTCAAGAGTGAGAACAATACTCAACTCATTACCTAAAGGCTTTTGGGTGAGAACATTACGTCTACCATAAGTATCAAAAGATACAAGGGTTACTTAAAACTACACAAGAGACTCTTAAAACCTAAAACTCTAAGCTTCCCCTAATTTACAAATTACCGAAAGTTATTTTTTTTCTTTTTCTTTATATTAGGTTAGGTCTTCTCTTTAAATACACCTCTGCAGTCCATGGGCTTCGAATTATGTGTCCATAAATTTCTTGATCCATAAGCTGAGTGTTGCACCAATTGTGCAGTAAAATCTCCTTAAATATTGGAACAAATAATACAAAGTTTCATAAATTATATTAAGGCCCAATTTAATAACTAATGTACAACTGGAGATATAAAACATGTTCCAGATTAAATCTTCTTGACCTGCGAAATTTACTGAGATATATCCAAAAGGAATATCACATAATCAAATAAAATTTATCAAGATTTAAAACAGCCACACATGTTGTACCAAACCAAGATGTCATGACACCTGTCTTCGACATCTAGTTAAAAAACTCATAACATCAGACTTGTTATGACAGTTGATAAAAATGTTGCAACATCTTGATCAACATCAGTATAGAACCATGTTTTAGCAAAATCATGTCAATCCTAAAATCATAGAACTAACAAAAGAAGTTTAAATATATTGTATAAAAAAAGTATTATTTTTTAACATAATTTTTTTCATAAATATTATTTTTAAAAACGGTTTTATAAATAGATAAATATAATTAATAAAAAAAATTAGTTATTTTTAAAAAAACAGTATAAAAACCATTATTTTTTAATAATAAAAACTAATATTTCCAACAATATTATTTTTCTAAAATCACTATTATTAAAACATTATTTTTTTAAAACGGTATTAAAACAATATATTTAAAAAAATATATTATAGAAACATAATATAAACTGTAATATTTTGAAAATTAAAAAAATATAGTATAAAAAATATAATACTTAGTATTCTAAGAAAATATAAAAAAAAATATAGTTTATTAATATATTTTAATATTATTTTGTGAAAGTATATTAATTATGAAAAGTATGTATTGTAGCGAAAAAATATGTCATGGCATCATACAAACAAAATTAGTTCTAGATGCGACATCCATCGGATGGAAAGGCATGGAAACACTTTGATAGAGCATATCTTGAATTTACAACAGAACCCAGAAATATCTGGCCCATAGGACGCTGTGTAGTTCTTCGACCCATCCCCTTTTGGCTTCGCCTAGCCTGCGTTTGAGTCCTCACAAGATGACCCTATTTGTGGCTTCGGCATTCCCATTGGTCTGAGGATATTCAACTGAGGTAAAATGTTGCTTGGTGCCGATTTTGACGATGAAACTTTGGAAACCTTGGTCGGTGAACTACGTGTCGTTGTCTGTGACGAGCGCTTGTGGTATCCCAAATCGTGCAAGCACGTTTAGTTTGTAAAAACAGAGAATATTGTGTGACGTGATTTTCG